AAACATGGTAACTCACAAGGCTTAGGATGCGTAAATGTTGGCTCTTCTAATTTGTCTTTCATCAAAACAATACCAGCATTTGAAGCATTTTGTTCACCAAGCATATGTGCAATTGCACCTGACTCCGATTGAACTGCAACGTTAGCCTTGATCTCAATTCCTCCAGCATCACGAAGACCCTTTGATTGCCAATTGGTACATTCACTCCCAGAATGTCCTCTGCCCAAACACATATAACATATAATATCTTGGGTTTGTGATTGAGAAGTTCCGGATGTACCTTTGCATCTTGGCTTGCAAACTCTAGATTTGATCGTAACTTTTGGATTGGAATCAAACCGTCCTTCCTGTGAAAAGTTTGGTTGTGTGCTAGATGAACCAAAATCAAATCTCTGATGTGCTTTTCTCGCAATTTTTTCTCTCCCATGAGAAACAATTGGATGAGTTGTACCTCTCCTAGACATATTTTGTCGCCGTCGGTGTTGTGCGACATATGTCTCATTTTCCATCTGGTCTATTCTTTGATGGATACCCTCCAACTCAGCTCGCATGATTCTCCGTAGCTCACCCATCAAGGCCTGCATTTGAAGTGGGTTTGCTTCTTCATGTTGCTGATTGTCTAGATTGCGATTTTGTTCATCCGCCATTATGAAATTTTCCTGCAAGTAAAAACGTCAGCAAATAAACAGAAATAGACAAGGAAAAGGAAGATGAGAGAACCTCACAAATCACTCAGAAAAGTGTTTCGCTCAATTTGTGTATCACTCAACTCTCCCGTTTCTCTTACGAATCCTTGTGCAAACTAATTAAGGAACTCAATCAGATGCAACAACAATGAAATTCAAAACTCAACTCACTAAACCAAGTTAGAAGATGAGTAAGAGTGACTCTAAATCTCAAAACCTAATATTCAACGCAAGAAAACTCAAACGACTCAAAGATGAAACTTCGACTATGACTCGAAAGTTTTGGACTACGACTCAACGACTCAAAATCAAAACTTTGACTCAACTCCGACTCAAAATCGAATCAACTTCCAAATTTTTTTTTTCTCTTTTCTTTTTTTTTTCTTTGATCTTCTTTTTTTTGCTTTTGTTTTTCTTCTTTTTTTGTTAATTCCCTTTGCAATTTGCACTGCAACAAAATCAAAACTCGAAAAGTCAATAAAACGATAAAAAAATGATAAAATAAGATAAAATAAGATGTAAAATTGATAAAAAGATAAAGGATAATCCTAATAGGAAAATCTAGGCTCTGATACCAAATGATATGATCCCAAGATCGATAGATTTCCCGATAGGCGGTGGATGGGGATGCTCTCTAAACATGTTTGGATGCACTCTAAGTGATGCGGAGCAGGATAGCAATGCGGATCATCTCGTCTTCTCGAGTGGACCCATGACGAGGTCAAAATCAAGGGAACTCCAAGCTGCTCTAAATGGTCTTTTTCTTGAATGTTTGGGCCAAAAACACATGGGAAATCAACTTGGATCAAGTCATATACAAGTCCAGCCCATTTTCAACATGATTTCAAGTGTGGAGAGCCCAAAATGAAGGCCCAAATGTTGCAGCCCAAGTCCATGACGAAAATCACTAAGGAATCTGCAAGTTCAAGTCTTCATGATGATTCCAAGGCATTCAAAGTCAAGTCCACCACATTTATGGCTTTGTTTTCCTATATTCCCAAAATTCTAGGAAGACTACATTTAATTCTAGTCTTTTATGTCTTTTGGATTTCTTTTACTTCTCCTATAAATAGGTGAGCTAATCTCACTTGTAAGAACACATCCTTGATCAATAAACTTGTGAGAGTATTCTCTTTTAGTTCTTTGTGAACTGTTTTGAACTTATCGGATTTCTATCCGTGGCGTTCACCCGACTTATCAAACGGACAGTCATAACCGTTTGTGGCGTCTTCACTATACCAAGGTTGCTAGTCACGGTGTTAGGTCTAGGTCGAGGCAGTCTTTTAGACTTGTGCCAAGGTTGATTCCTACCAGTTGGTTAGAGGTCGCGGTCTCCACCTGCCTAATTAGAGCAAAGGTCCTCGGTTCCGCATCATGTGGGCTTGGGCTTCAGCAATTTGTGTTCTCCTCTTTAACATTCCCCCTCAAGATTTGGCTTGTAGAGATCTACAAGGCCAATCTTGGATAGCACAAGTTCTTGAGTCTTGGCGTTGGGTGCTTTGGTAAATATGTCAGCAAGTTGGTCACAGCTCCTTGTGTACGATGTAGCTACGATCCCTTGAATAACCTTTTCTCGCACGAAGTGGCAATCAACTTCAATGTGCTTTGTCCGCTCATGAAAGACCGGATTTGCTGCGATGTGTATGGCGGCCTGGTTGTCGGAATGTAGTGTGATGGGCAGGGTGATTGCAATTCCGAGATCATGAAGGACAGACTTGATCCACACGAGTTCTTGAGTGGTCTTGGCCATGGCACGGTATTCAGCTTCGGCGCTTGATCTTGCTACGACATTTTGCTTCTTGCTTTTCCAAGTCACCAGGTTCCCGCCTACGAATGTGCAATATCCTGTTGTGGACTTGCGGTCTTTTTGATCACCTGCCCAATCTGCATCACAATAACCAACAACTTCCGTATGTTGATTTCTCGCCATCCAAATGCCTTTC